ACCTCAGGCGTTGTAGGCTCGATTGTGTAGTGGTTAGTGCTGGAAAGCGAAGAGTAGTATTAGTGACTTTCCGTCAGTGTCAGAACGTTCATATGGAGCATCATGTGCATCCTCCCACTGAGAATTCAACCCTTTTCCTTCATAGCGCACAATTGCGCGCGATCGGGTGCTGTGGGGGCGACGCGATTTTCGGGACCAAGTACCCACACCCTGACTGCGGTACGCTGTCATAAAGGGCAATCTAGTCATCCAAGCTTACATTCTTTTCTCTTTTCGTGATTTTACACCCTGATGGGATCACAAAAACGTTAAGCGAAAGTGCTCGTCTGGTGATGAAGCAGTGCCAGCGACAATTACATCTAAAGCACAACAACTATTGTTTGTAAAATTGTTATGTTTTTGAAATGCTGCTAATTTTGAAGGAAATGTTTTATTTTGAAATGTTGTTAGTTTCATTAGTGATGTTTCAGCTAGTTGGCTCTTGTGAAGTTATTGTTTTTCGCCCCTCGTAATTATTATCAGAGCAACTCACCTGAATTGATTCCTCGTATGTAATTGATTCACTATCTTCTATCCAAGGAATGTTGAATACGTAAATGCTAATTAGGTGTCGTTGCTATAGACAAAGCGATTTTGTCGTAATTGTAGGATCGTACTTTTTTGGACGCCTTTTAAAATTCGCTCCTTTTAAATGTTTCTATAGGCTTAGGGTTTAGCAAGGATTATGCACCTACATGTACTAACTTTTTAATTTCTCTTTTACTGCGATAGTGGCTGCGCTAGCTTTGTTCAGATTGTTGACTTGAATGAAAGTTTTATTATTGTTTTTGTTATGCTATTTTCCTTATGGTTTCTCTTTGTTGTTTAATTATATGAAATAAATCCATTGTCTTGAAATCGATATGAAGGTAGAAAAGATTGACGTCGAGAAAGTGCTAAATCAGTAGTTCTAGAAATCGCATATCCTGAGGAATTTATATAAATTTTTGCCACCTCACGCCTCCACTGACTCGGCCATATATTCTGTTCTATGTTGTTAAACTACACAGCCTTCTCAGTGATATAACTGGACATCTTTTTGCAGTCTTGAAAAAACAGTGGAAAGTCATTCTCTGCACTAACGCGTGCGTTGTACGTCCACGACTGCTCATCTGTGTAGATGGAGTCGTTCAGCAGAATGTTTGATGTATAGGAGTGAGATAGTTTACTCTAGATTTCAACACTGGGACCGCTTTGAGGGCACCCGCTTGATATATTTCACTTGGGGGACGAGCGATTCGTGCGATTCTGGGTGCGCGCGACAAATTGCGCGGCAAAATTCGCGATGATTCAAACAGCTCTGGCGTCTATCATTGGGGCACAAACTTGAAGTAGAGTACTTTGATAGGGTTGGACAATCCCACTAACCTACTTTACTTCAAATTTTGGCCCAATTGGTAAACGTTGCAGTCGTCCAAATCGCACCGAATTTCGCCGCGCAATTCGTCGCGCGCACCCAGAATCGCACGAATCGCAACACACCCATTTCACTTGAGCAGAATTATTAGTGATTGACCATAGCCTCGCCCACCTTAGTGACACCTCGCCTACCTAGGAACCCAGGAAAGCATTCTAGAAGGGTTTTGAACAGAGTTATGAAATTTTGATCTCACATTAGCCCCGCCCGCCTTAGTACAAGCCCTGCCCACTCTGGGGATTTGACCACCTTCCTCTTATTGCCCTTTATCATTTCTTTTCCGAGTACTAGAACATTTTCAATACAGTTATTAAATTTTAGAAAAAAAGAACCCAACATATAAATGCATGCCCCGTCCACCGTGGACAACGGTTGCGTATTCTCAGAATTCACGAGGCCTTGCTGCTCCTTTTTTCCTGACCTTTACGGTTTAGCTGAATCGAGCTATGAACTTATGTGGTAGGTGCCGCTCACTGCGGAAATGCTCCGCCCACCGTTGTCCCTCCGTCCCTCCCATCCCTCACATTATCTCTTTTTTTTCACGACGTCTAGGTTGTGTAAGAGTTTGTAAGATGCAAGAGACTGTAAGAGTCTGTAGGTAGAGGAGCGACCGTAGTCTCAGGAGTATTGGGGCGTGGGAAACATAGCTGTCTGGGAAAGAAGTGTCTGAGAAGTGAGATCTTATCAGCTGAGTAGGGTTTAGTCGAAAATGGGAATCATGGATCAAAGGGATCCGCTTTTCCTTTCATTGTGCAACATTGCTCAACCTCGCGCATGGAAATTTCTGCTTACTGTATCATGACTCATCATCACCCGTTTTTAAGGCTCGGCGCCAGCTTCTCGAGGAGTGCAGTCGACAGCGACTACGTCCCACCATCAAGCTCGCCGTTCACTGAATTCCAAGCTATATTGCCTCAACTGCTCGAAACACTTGCTGATCTCTAAACTCCGTACGACCAGACTGATCTCTTTATTCACCGCAGTTACTGGCGAACGACATATTCATACATGTTTGTGCAGAAGTACGAGGTTAGCGGTGCGGGGAATTCTGCACCATATTACTGGTAGGAGCGAATTCTGACAACAGGAGGATAGGCTAATAAATAGTTATTTTGGTTCCGATGAACCTCAACGAGAGAATGACGCTTGATCAACTTCGTTTGTGTGATCATGACCTTTTGACCTATGTGAACGGCGGCTGCCTTCCATCGATTACTACGTAGTTATGATAGTTTGTCTGTATCAACCTCAACCTATGATAGTGTATTGGTATTGCCCCAACCATGTAATATCACTCTCGCCATGTTTCATTTACTATTTCGTCACTTTACTCTATTTTTTTCTATATCCTCTGTGATGAATCGTGTGTCATGTGTTTATGGAGAAAGTTTTATTCGACGTCGAATTAGCAGAATTAGTAGTAGAGGCCTATGTTGATGATTGCAAACAAACCGGCGCCAATTATGGGAATAAGAAAAGGTGATTTCAGAAGAATTTTTAACTGTAGCGTTCTTGAGTTTTGGCTAGCCTAAGTAAGCTCGCTATTGTGTTGAGTTATGGAAAATACTTTAGCAGTCGCCTGATGTCAGTAAACACTATTTACTATTCCTCACTATTCCTTGCACGTTTTATCCGCGTATCTTTTCTTTATTTTTACTATTATGTCTGTTGTTATTTACTCATTTTCCATGCTTATGAATTGGACGCTGAAGAAGATTATGCCGGCGGAAGAATTTTGGGGTCTAGAAGACCGTCTTCGGTAGTGTCTGGTACCCTCTCGGAGTTTTGTGTAAAATCGCCGTTCTCTTCGCCTTCGTCGTATGGTATGTTGACCGGCTCTTTGTCTGCAGCCAGCGCGGCTCTCGCGACTTCTTGCCGTTCCCATCAGATAACATCTTCTCGACAGTCCCGCACGAGCTGTTTACAGGTTCAAGTCGGTTGCCACGAAGTTAGTTCTGCTAACGGATTTTTGATATTTCGCGGAGCTCCGACTTCTTGACTTCTCACGTTTTTTTGCAATCAAACATCAAAGGAGTGCTAGGGATCCAGTTTATTGTGAAAAAACGCAGTTCCCACAGTGGTACGGGCCGTCGTCACCTCAGTTCTGCCTCCTGGAGCAGAAACTATCGTACCGTGTTATGTAGCGTAGCGGATGCTTCACAATCTTCCTCCTACCTTTGGACTTCGTCGAATGCCCTAGGAGAAGATAACGTATTTGTGTCCCCCGCTGTTTTTAGCAGTCAATACCCGCATCTCCTCGTGACTGACCCTTCTTCGTCAGTGCAGGTTATCTTCAAGGATCAGCGCCTAGCCGGAGCCTTAACTCTCTCAGAAGCGGAGGATCGCACATTGTCGGAAACCCTTCGCTATTTTAGTACACCTGTGCTTGCAACAGCTGTAGCTATCGGAGCCGATTGCTCTTACACTAGAAACGATCTTTTTGCATAGATTTGTCTAACGCCGAAGTGAATGGCGCACAGAAGTCTCACGCCGAAGTGAATGGCGCACAGAAACGTCAATTGCAAAATTTATTCGAAGAATTTAGCGACCGTGTTTCAACTTCATCTTATATTTGGGTTCGTATGAAATATCTCCGATAGTAAACAAGGCGACCACTGGGATTCCTCCTACCAAGTACAGGCCTACCCGCATTCCAACTCACTTTCGGAAGGAGTCAAATGAGCACATTCAATCTGGACGAATAGTCGGGAGCGACACCCCTTGGGGGCATGGCTTTTGGACAAGAAGAAAGATGATTCACTGAGAGTATGCTTGGATTCTCGACCTCTCAACGACGTTACTATACCAGATCACTATCCTTCGCCTCGTATTGAAGACTTTCTCGAGAAAGCAGCAGGAAATCAAATCCATACCACCTTAGATCTGGCGTCGGCGTATATGCAACTGCTACTTGATCCCACCAGTCAAGCCAAATGACTCATCGAAGGTCTACCAATTTGTTATTCGTCCATTGGCCTGCGCAATGCTGGCGCATACTTCTCTCGCGCATTGTCTTGCAGGTTCAAAAGGGAATTGCTTTGGATGATATTATTGTTTTCAACGAAGACCTTCCTTCCCATCTAAACTCACTGCGCGAGATCTTTGAGCGCCTCTTCTCCGCAATCGCCTCCTAAGCGTGTTCATATGAACTATGTTAAGAAGTGCTTCGAATATCCGGACCCGTGTTCACTTCACCATGGATGTCCAGCAAAGAGGCAGCTACTCTTTCCCAGCATGGCACCCCCGCTCGATTCACTGGATATCTTCAGAGGGAGAGAGCTCACCCCTCCATCAACGTTTGACTCTTCTTCTTCGTCACATGGGCATGACTCGTTTCCGCAAAAGAAGTTCTACTGTTTGATCATGCCAACATTACTTTTCCTTGTATTCTTTTCTTTTGTTTTATTTACAAAATTAACTTAATGCATTATTTACTATTTCATTCTCGTAATTCGGTGCGTTCCTGTTACCGTAAAAACGTCAATGTTTGTGCATAGTGTCGCCCTGTGTTCATCAAGTCCCTTGCAGATAAGTTTTCTTGTGCATGAACTCTGCTGAATCCGATATTACCGCAGGCACTGAGCCACCCGTGCCCTCTCAAGCTGACGATCAAGTTGAGAAAATGGATCAATCAGGTAGCGCAGCCCCCATTTTACGCGGCCCCCCATCGTGTACCTTTTCTTCGGCTCCGCTGCCAGTTCTCGAGAAACTTCTGTTCGAAGACGACGATAGTGGACCAGAACTGTTTGACATCACTGACTTGGTTACCATTGTCCCAGCGCAGAAACTAGAAGAGCTAATTTTATCGCCAGATCTTTAACTCACCGATTCACGCGCAGAATCCTGTCACAACCGCAGGAAGGCCTCAGCGCAGAAATGCTCCTCGCCGAAAGTCCGAACAAGCCTTTGACGAGAACATCGCATCCATTCCTCTCCCACCAGGGTTTCCGCAGACAGGCCATTTTGAAGCAGATGCTTCTCAAGAGCACTCCGGAAAGCGTCAAGTGATTTCGTCATTTTCTTCGTCCAATGCAACCAGTGCGTCTGTCGCAGATAAACCAGAAACCTCGTCAAATTTTCGTATGCAAGCGTCGTCAACCGCGAAAAAGCCGCAATCGCCGATCAAGCAGCAGGATAACAACGCAGCCGAAGCCGAAGTTTGTCGTCAGATCGTCACCAGCTTTCTACGGAAGAACGTTCAGCCCGCGTCAAACGCCGTCATAATCTTCTACAAGGAGCAATCTCAAACCCTAGCGCACTTCGCCAGCGCTTCTTTCGTGGACCTTCATACAGTGGATTCCGCTCAAGGTCGCGAGAAGGACGTCGTCATTCTTCTCACGACTCAGACGGGTTTCGACCCCTGGAGAGTTCCTCAACGATTCGCAACGACGTGTTGTCCAGATGCCGCCATGGCCAACTTGTTTTGGAGCACGAAAAGTCTTTGGCAGGCTTGTCCTTTTGGTCTGGTATCTCCCAATGGGCTAATGACCGCAGGGCCGTTACTACAGCAGCGGCTCTTCCAGATCTCCTGGAATAGACGGCTCACGTCTCGTTTTCCAAACAAAAGATGAGCTTTTCTCTTTTTTCACCGTCCCTATTTCTAAGTCCGAGACTGGTTTTTTGGAATGAGGGGAAATGTAAGAGTCTGTAAGTGAAGGAGCAACCGTAATCCAAAGAGTATTGGGGCGTGGGAAACATAGCTGTCTGGAAAGGAGGTGTCTGAGAAGTGAGATCTTATCACTGAGTAGGGTTCTAGTCGAAAATTGGAATCATAGATCAAGGGAGCCGCTTTCCCATTCATCGTGCAACCTTGCTTAACCTCGCGCATGAGAAATTCTGCTCACTGTATCATGGCTCATTTCATCACATGTATTTAAGACTCGCCGCCAGCTTCTCGAGGAGTACAAACGACAGCGTCTACAGTCCCACCATCAAGCTCGCCGTTCACTGCTACAGCACCTCCTGCTCATCACCTCTGGCCCCCACGACTTCCTAGCTATAGTGCCTCAACTGCTCGACTCACGTGTTGGTCTCTATACCCCGTTCGAGAAGACTGACCTCTTTATTCACCGCAATTACTGATAAATGATATATTCATGCATATGTTATGCAGAAATACGAGATCAGCGGTGCGGGGAATCATGTTGTTGTGAAACCTAGTCGAGAAGTTTTGCCCAAAACACCCCTGTGCATGCTCCGCCCCTGTGGCTGAAGTTCCGCTTGGCTCGCATGTGCTCTCTTGGTCTTGCGCTATGCCCAACCCATCTCACCCTAGACCCCACCTCTACAAGTGCTTGCTTCTTCAGGTAATGTCGGATTCCCGTGCAAACAAGCAGTCAGAGAGATAAACAGAGAGACAGGACACATAGACAGACAGTCAGGCGCGAGAGCTTTATATACATGTGGTATAATTTTCGTTAATCTATAGATACTACGAATTCTACGTTAATCTATGGATGCTAGGAACTTTACGAAAGTGAGCGCAGCCCTAAAGGAAAATTCGATGCACAACTATGGATCCTACGGTACGTGTGCGAGGTCATCTGGCATGAAGATCGACGTCTAATTCAGATTACTGGAAAAGTGAGTGACAGTGGCCGCTTCGTGATTCGTTCAAATGATACGCTTACCAGAAGCCAACAGAAGTCGTCTCCTCCTCGAACGTAATCGGAGGTGATCCACTCGCTGCTACCGGGGAGCGAGAGCGCACAGTGAGAGGATTGCCTCGAGTAATCAAATTACTAAGGTTCGGCCGTGGGCATTGTAGTGGAGGGATCAGCTTTTGGTGACGAGGGAATGCTTGAAAATGAATAGAATGTAAGAAAAGCCGTCGTTGAGAAAGCGTTGGTGGCTCCTACCGAATACTCATCTTGCTGTCGCAATGTGAGGTCCACCTAGAGGGCTGAATCAAATATGAAATTTTAGAGTAATTCTTACAATAAACTTTGTTAACATGTGATACATTCCATTTATACCTCTAATTATCCTGGGGGCACCGCTCACAACGCTTGTACTTTCATAACCTTTGAGCAAGGGGTCACTTGGTTTTTGCAAAACTTCATCTACACTATGATAAACTGCACATGCCTTTGAAGCTCCTACGGAACCACCTTGAAGTTGTTGCCTCCCTCGTAAAATTTTCGTCTATATTTTGTCCATTTTTGAAACCACACCTCTTTCGCAAAAATCGTATATTTGTTACCGGTTCTTTTACCGTGTTGACCTTCTTTCCTTATCCCCTGGAAGCTGTCGTCCATTGCAGCTGATGATTCCTCTGTCTTTCCAACCAAAATGTATTTTTACAAGCTTCGAGAGAGTTACGATGTGTAACTGATCTACCCATCAAGGCTGTTCCCATAAATTCAAAAGAATTAGTCCGAGAAGCCTAGGTTTGTAGTGAGAGCTCCCATATCTAATTCGGTTATGACACTTATTCTCGCCGAAATATTGAAATTGCAGTCTTACGGTACTTGATGGAACGGAGTTTATCAGCTTCACAGCTACTGCCGTCTGATTTTTTGGAATTGCTATTATCAACTTAAGAAGATGTAAGTTTTTTTTGAATGATTATGACTCAATTCCCGCTAATTCTCTGCTTCTATGAGCAGATGAAGTGTGATGTTGAGTGGAATTTCACGCTCCACAATATTACTTGCCTGATGAGCATATTAATTACCTTCGCTAAATTTTCTAGCTTCTTGAGACGGTTTCAACTAGCAGCCCCTACTTCACAGAGGTTGCCACGAATGAAGGAAAACAACGAATTACAAGGAATAAGCGCAGAAGATTGCTTAAGCCTTCAATTTTCCTGCCATAGCTAATGATTTCGATACTTATTCCGGTTGGGATGACCGAAAGTCTATTCGTTGGTAGAACCCTTGACCGAATATCGCAGCAGTCCCACAAGGTAAAAGCTGTGAGATTTCTATGGAACTTCGTGTGGAGACCTAGGCGAGACTTACCGAGGGTATTACGATAAAATTTAGGAAGTTGCTTTCGAATGGGGAAGGTAAAATTGCTAACTTAGTTTTTCTGAAAAAGTTATGAGGGCTAGAATTTTGATTGGATATAGTTTCAGTGGTAGTACACGGTGCTGGCACTACAGGAGGCGCCCCCTTTTGGAGAGGGTAGTGTTCTCCTTTCCCAGTTGGAGTTTGTGTGTTCGCCTCTAGGTCCTCAAGGTTGGGGTACAGTATGATTTAGTCCCAACTAGATCAAGAATGAGTAGGAAGGACGATTGCCTGGCTCTAGTTCACACCTGTTTCTAACCTATGGGCTTCATTTGCCTCCGGTACCACGTCGAGAGGGAGAGGGCATTAGAGACAGTTTAGCGGTAGTCAACAACAAGGTGGGTGGGAAGTGTTATGTAATTATCATGCTATCAAGAACAAATGGATCTAGAAAGCTGATTTTTTGATTTTCAATTGTATGACTATGGATCGCAACAGTCTTCGACATTTCAGACTGTGGTCAAGGCGAAAAGCCGAAACGTAAGTCGATTACAAGTCTGTCTGCCATCTTGGTTACAGATTTAATCAGAAGTCTCAAGAGAACTGTTGCCATGCCAAGATTGATTTGTAGTGGAACTTGGATACTTTTCAGTAACCTATTCGCTTAGAGCTGTTCACTGATAGCCTACTAGCCTTCGAACTAACGCAAGCATTGTCTCACATTTCTGAGGGTCATGAAAGGACACAGCGACTATGGGTTGCTGAACGCGGACCAGATGGAACACTAGGGTCTACCCCTATGGATCACAGCATTTGGCGGCCGTTGGAGACAGGCGTCCAAAGCTACAAAACTCTCAGGCCCCTACAAAATGACAACGCACGTCGGAATTTCGCTTCAGAGACTCATTTTCGAAATTTTAGTCGTATGAGGATGTAAGTCGAATACAAGTTTGTTTGTCATCCTGGTCACAGGTCCACATGTGTCGCCTGCTTCCAGGTTACTCATCAGATGTATTTCCGAGATTACATCTTCTGGATACCGTTTGCTTCACTTCCCTAGGCGCCACTGTTTTGAAAAAAGTTTGCAACTTGTTACTTTGAGAAGAGTTCTTAACTTATGATGATCTGAAAAAAGCAGTCATTGACTTCTTGGAGTCATAGTTCCCTGACTTCTGACCAAAATGCTTCAGTGATTTGCTCAAGAGATAAGAGAACGATATCTCTTTGGTGAATTCATTTCTAGCACCTGAATAACGTGAAAGATTCTAGAAATAGATTTAAAACGACTTTCTTCGCCGATTTGTCTTAGCAAACTAATACCATAATCACTCTAAAGACAGTTATCTCCTATTTGGATGATTGTAGCGAGGCAACATCCATAACGCGCTGAATTTGTTAGCAACATGATCCCTTCATACATTTTTAGTTTTTTCATCCAGGAGTATTTAGAACTTATTTATTCTCTGTGTGTTTTAATGTTGTAGACGAATAGAAGGATCTGTCTTGAGTAAGTGCAATGGGAGTAAGCGATAATCTGAAGCGATTACTCAAATAAATGTCAGAAAATGTTGTAAAAGCTTATATTGAGAAAAAGCCACGCTGTGCAACAAACTCAACGGCAAGAAGTAAACCCACAGCCCTCACCTGACGAGAAAGAACACTACTCCTGCGCCACTAGGGCTCTAGCTGTAGCGTTGGGAGCAAGTGCGCACTATTATTATTATTATTTATTACATGCACAGAACTATTACTGAATTTTCAGCAAAATCGGAAGGGTCATAATTTTTTTGAGGAACTCAATCAACAATCTCCATTTCAGCACTCGTAAACAACTTTCTGGACCCTATCGATATACCCAGGTCTCTTTTTGGACTTGCATGAGAATTCGGAACCCTTCCCTGGCCAAGCATTAGCCTGCATACGGAAAATACAGATAACAACTTTACTGATAAGGTATAAATTATGCTAATTTCGATCATCATACTTCATTGCAAAACAACCTGGTGATCACAAAATCAATACGTACAATGAACAACATCACGTATGGTGCATTTGGTCTGAGAGCCAGGAGGGAGAATGACTAGACGGTTGTGGGAAACATCAATATCTCGAACAATGAGATAGTTGAAATCGATATATACATTTGTAACATCAACANNNNAAAAGGAAGACCCAATCGGATATAAAACTTTTAGAAAAAAGAAATCATATTCTTTTCTAGAATTTCGGTGCTTTCAAGGTACAGTGTGCATATAAACTTCTTTAGGAACGGTGCGGCCACGAAGTGTTATCGGTCGACGTATGAGAGGACCTACGCAAGCTACGAAGAAGATGGAGAACGTCCGTTGCGAGCGTCCGTCGAAAGTAGGTCACCCCACCCATTCCGCGCGCGGCGCACTCCAACTGAGGTCTTGACATGACATTAGAGTACCACCAAGTGTCAGAGGAGCGATCGATTTGCATTTGTCCATGTTATCTTTCCTTTGGCTGACACCTGTGGGCCAAGCGCAAGTCGTATGCCCCACAGACAACTGCGACGTTTGTCAAAAATCGCGGGCTGACGTGTCGCATGCGACGGTTGCGGCGTGACCTAGATTTGACGGACGCGCGCAACGAAGCGCACCCGAAGAAGATACGTTCCTCACTGTGGTAAACTGCTTGACGGCCTTTACTCTATCTAGAAGAGCGAACTCAAGGGCTCTACTACTAGCGTTAGCAATGGTAAAACAGCAGCACAGAAGAAAATTTTGTCGGAGCTCTGCTCAACAATGATTAATCCATTGACGACATCTTGACGCGCATGCGCTTCAAGCCTTGCATACCGGGACCGAGTGACGCTCACGCGCGTCAACGTTTTCTCACCACTCTTTTCTTGCGAGTTCGCGACTTTTTAGATTTTTTTTTGCGTTTATTCAATGACAAAGAATTAAGACTTTTACAAACAATGTGGTCCATGATCGGGGCAAATATGGTTTGTTCCAGCAAAGATTTTCCAAACCTTGTAAGATGTCAGAACTTTGAAAAAATTAAATTGAACTTTGACTTTTATTCCAGAACAAACTTATAAATCATAGAAATAATCACAAGTAATTCATAATAAGGTGTAATAACTCCAAGAAATCACGTTTCTACTTGACGAGACTTGTGTTTTTATTGAAACAATGCANCTTTAGGTGCCTCCTACAACACATGTCGCATGGAGTGAGAATGGTGACTCGAAGCGTAGCTGTAATCAACATTTAGCAGAGATACGACCAATTCTAAGTTTGAAGTCATTCAGACTGATATTCTTCGCAACATCTTTGTGCACTTCCAAGCGTCTGCAACAGCTGTTTGCGTAATTAGGTGGAAAAAATCTTCTTGTACCACTTCATGATTTGCGCTTATATGGAGTGTAAGATGCCATCTGATCAGACAGTTCGACGAAACCCTCCATTAAATTGTAGTTATCCACGACTTCCGGTTTCTGGAACGTTCCGTCCGCTGCGTCATGTTTTGTAGAGATCATATACAGGTCTGTTTCATCTCTCCATTTGAGCATAAGATCTCCATTCCTCTTTTGCTTGCAACAAAGTCGGCCTCTCTTCAACTTCATTTCAACTTGATTTCTTTAGAAATCTCTTTTCGGTTCCTCCTGAGAGTTCCAACGCGGTGGCCCCTTCTTGATATCAATTTCTCGGCTAATCCAGAGTTGGAGTAGAAATTGTCCGAGCAGACGATGCGGCTTTCATCGAGGTAACCTTCGGCAGAAATTTATCAGCGAGTGGTTCGTGTCTTGATATATCTTTGCTTGCATAGATTTTTATCCTGACTGTATGGCCACCTCTAGCGCATAACTTGAACAATTTGATTCCATATCCGTGCCATTTAGCAGGCTTGTATTGCCTAAGAACGATTCTTCCTCGGAATTGAGTAAGGGATTGATTAATACACACCTCTTTCTCGACTGAGTAAAATTTGGCCGTTGTCTCTTGAACAGATGTATGAACCGCCTGATTTTGTATAACCGGTCGCCGTCAAATTTTTCACTGTTGCCAAAAGGAGGTACTTCAACAGCTCCTCGAACCTGTTTCTAGCCATAATTTTGAAAGCAACGGCCTTACCACCAAAGCCTGGTCGCGAACTCCAATAATAAACGCGGTATTATAACCAATCCCAATTGCAGACATAGTCCAACAAATCCTCTCACTTCTTCACAGTCAGTTTCTTGAAGGTCTTCACTGCAGTGAGTTCCTAACGGTTGGTCTCCTTAACAATAAGATCCAAAGTCTCGTCGTTCAAGAACAGTTCGAGAAAATCTATCGATTCTTGGCAAGTGAGAACTTCATCATTTGGGCCGCAGCGACCGTTGAAAATCCAAGGATCATGAGGTGAGACACGACTATTCCACGACGAAATACTCTCATTAAGAGAGTCCTGCTCTTCTGATTCATCTGATTTCTTCTTCACGTATCTCATCCACTTCATCTCAGTTGTTCCTTAAACTTCCTCATCGGATACGATTAGATGTGCGTTGAAATCCAATGTGTACTCAGCATCGTATACGACTATAGTCATTTTATAGGTTTGCTTTTGAAATCTTGCCGTTGATGTTATAAAAATTTGAAATTGGTCAGGCGACTACGTGGCGCATGGCTTGTCTGCACTCTCTTAGCGAAACAACGTCAATTCACGTATTTCAGGTTTCACTAATGACAGGGAACTTGTCTTACTACCCCCAGTTCTCCCTTTCTACAGCCGTCTAGGTCTCTAGGTAGCAATTTCCTATCTTTGTTTCACAAGTGCCACAAAGCTCTTTCTACTTCGCTAAGAGGGAGCAGACAAGCAGTGCACCCCTGTCAGCTACTTTTTTCATTTACCAATATAATACACTTTTGATGTTGCCTCTCAGCTCTGGCTTCCAAAAAATGCACCTCGTAGGACATCTCAACGTGCAAGCGCGTCAATATGGCCGTGCCCGCCAGAACGCTCATGTCCCACGCGGCCGAAAGATCCAAAACGCGCGCTGTCGTCAGTGAATTAGGGAGACACCTGAGAAATTAACGTAGGCAAACTCCGTCCCGACTGCTCGACTCGATACCACCCGCGACCGCATGCCATAAGCGCTGCAGCTGGTGGCATACACTGTGGTCAGCTAATAATAATCAATCAAACGTTAAGAATTATTATGATGGGTAAGGAGCTTATGAGCGAATTTAGCTAAACTCTGATCTAAATGACAATAAAACCACATTGGAATAGGAACAACGATTGTCCCACAGATTGGACCACGCATTGTGCTATGTTGCAAACCAGTTTGGAATATGGTGTCTGCAGATTGTCGACCAGCAGTACCGTACCCGCATTCGGTGACCGTATGGATGTGAATAATGCAGTCTCGATTTCATCACACCTCTTCATAAGAATGCATCAGCGGTGTGGTGACAGTGGCGTAACGGCCACCGGTTGGGCACTGAGACAGCTGACCAACCTGAAATAATGAGTTCGATTCGTCCTGTGCAACCTCTTTCTAGAAGTTATTCAATTAAATATCGAGGAGATTGAGTCTACAAACGAAGCAGAGGAAAAGTATCGTAGAATGAAGGGATTAAGGGAGTCAGCAGGACAATCTCACGACTTGTTTTAGAGACTATCCCCTCCAGTCACAAAATATGATTCGATATTAAGTTTCATTAGATTATTCGAATAGTGAACGTTGCAAAAGCTGAAATTACAGTATAGCAATCCATGCCTTAAATGGCTTCAAGTGGGTTGTAGTCGTACGGCTGATGACCATAAATGATCGAGCCCAATTTTTATTTTATGGTACTTGTGAAAATCAGCGGTACTCACTATTCCCTTCTTAACCCCCTTCTTCCTCAACTCATTCAACATGAGACTTGGTTTCTATTTCATACTATGAGGAAACGCTGTACGTACTTGCTCTGCACAGTGGCGTTACACAATCGGGGAAAGCTCTTATCGTGGGTATTACCCCAGGGAAACAGAATATACCGATTGGCTCTTGTTACAACCACACCAGTACGATCTTTCCTTCGGTCCAGCTACTCCCGGTGTGAAAATAAGGTACTTGGATAAGAACGTTCATTGTCAGCTGCTCGAGTGATACTTGAACACTTAACTGTCTTAGGGTTGACTAGCACTTCTAGCGCCAGGCAGCTGAATTTTCGCTGTCTTTCATTGCTCCTTACACCCATTCAGAAACCACCTACCTGACACTGGTTGTACAGCTTCGAGTCCAATATCATGCATCCGTTACTCAATGAACCGTTGTTATTGTGATGGAAATGGTGATTTGCGACTGATATTCGTGGAATGCTGGCACTTGAATTCAGCATCGGCTGGCTGGTCATTTCACCATGTGGCGCTGTCGGTGCTGATGGCGGTCTCTGGGAACAGCAAGCTACTCCTGCCGTCATAGGCTGAGTAGCGGTTAACGTCTGTTGCAGCTCAACTATTTTTTGTGTGAGCATGTCTATCTGCGAGATGAAATGATCTTGGGCACGATGCATCTCCCATAGAGTTTCGTGCATATCCGAGTGTAACTGGAAAGAAATAATGTAGGGAAGAACGAAAACACTATGAGCTCCGAAAAATCATGCCAAGAAATTAGGAAAATTAAAAAAAACGTTTGAAGGGTTTTCTGTGCTGAAATACTTTTATCAGCTTTTTAGACATCAAGACATTGATGGCGTAATTAACACTTTGTGTGACTGTGATTAACCATTCCAACTAATCTGATTCTGAACGTTTCTAAAGCTGTTCTAAAGGCTAGCTGTATTATTTGCTTTGACCGTGAGAATCTAAGAATACAGATGGCTGTCGCTAGCCTCAAGGTCACATTACCTCGGCACTAATTATAGGAAAGCTGTTGTGTTCAGATGGTATTCAGAAGAGATGGTCAAGGAATTAACTACTGCACCAATGTTGCCAGAAAAGCCTTACCTTCCCAACATCCAACAGCGAGTTGCCTTTTTCTTGAAGTTTGCGCTGATCCCACTTGATCCGTCGGAATTCGTTTATTGAGTGCAGAAATCGTCGCTGATGATGGCGTAGACGCAACTCGTCACCTTTATGCAAGGCTTTTTTGTACTTGTGGATGAACCTAAAACAACACTAGGCTCTTATAAATGTTACTGCAATGTTTGTTCCCACAAAACCAATTCTGAATATGTTCCCAGATGTTTCATTACCAAATAATTTTCATGAAACCCACCAAGTCTCCTGGAGCACAGATGCAGCCGCGTTCTTGCGTTGATTCGTCAGCTTGGAATCAGCCATGAAGTTGTTTACATGCTTCTCTGCCCTACTCAATTCCAACTTTCGCGAAATGACAGCGATCAAAGCCGAAGAGACGCCAGCACCCTAAAATCAGTCATTAACGGCGTTTTGGAACTGATGGAATTTTGTAGGTTTGAGCAGTTCATGTAAGATCACTTTGACAGCAACGAAAATTTGTAGAAGGTTCCCAATGAACGGAAGGGAGGCCGGTGGCAGTACCCCACCTTTCAGAAACTACAGCGGGTGAATGGTGAAGATAAAGAAAGGAGCAAAGAGAAGAATCAAACGAGTCAGGAAACATTCTCCATACCACAATTCCAGTGGTGATAGACAATGTTCGGCCGCAATATGTGTTCGGCACGATATCACCGTAACCGATCGACATGAATGTTACCATGATGAACCACATCGAATTCAGATAGTAGTGTTCGACGTCCAATTTCCCATCATAACTGAAACATCATCACATGAGTATGTATTCTAAAACTTTCAGAGGGAATAGGAGAGTTACCGTTCACACTGCGTGAACATCCAAGACATGCAGATCCAGTAGGAAACAGTGAACACGACCAACACTCGTAGCGGATGATCAGCCATCATCGTCTTGATAACAAAACGAAAATCCATGGAAATTCGATTCAATGCGGCGATCGAACGCGTAGCGGCATCCTAAAAGTCTGTGTCGATCAGTCAAATTCGAATATGAGGCAACCGATATTGAAATTTGAGTCATAAGTTCTGATAAATAAGACTTGCACGGGAATAAAATGTCGAAGTGATTGAGTAATTGTGACATCATGCACTCTCTTAAACTGAGAATATGAGGAGGGGAACTTGAATACGGGAGAGTTGTGGGAAAAGAATGCACAAGAGGTGGGATATTTGACTGGTATGAATTGGAGCTTGTGGTTTCAGATTGTGAAGAAAATCGGTTTTTCTCAGTATGATTTTTTATTAATCCATTAGGAAGTTTATAGACACGCTAGGTGCAACAACTGTGACGAAAGGAAGTCGAAAGTAACTGATAGGAAGGAGGTGAAAAAGTAAAACATAATGACTGAAAGAGGCATTCAACCAGTTCCTGTGAACAGAGAATGCTCTCCCTACACCCCCTACCCCCTCCTTCGCGGTGCCCCTAGAGCTTCATCCTGGGTGGGATTGGAGTAGTGAAGTGCAACTAATGATTCAATTCTGAATCGTTTTTCATCGCTACTTTCACGTTTGGCTTCGGCATGTAGTTCTCACTCAGTCAGAAAGTAAGTACGTGCAGCACTCAGGCATTCCCAGAGCTGTGCAATCGTTTGAACTGCCGTTTTACCATACATTTACAGAGAGCTTGATCAGTCCAAGAGTGATTCGACTTTTTGAAATAGGGCGGTTATAACCGGCCATTCTCTAGTGCTTGATCGAATTCAGCAGTCAATTGGTAAGTTTGTTGCGCAAATTTGACGCAGCCTGGGCTTTTTTGCACTCATCTTTTATATTAAGCTCAAGATCTATTACTACCATTTTATCGTACCTGGAATTGTTTACTGTGCAAAACCATGAATCGACATAGCAGATAAGATCGCAGAAACATCGGCACTGAGAGGAGCACATCTACAGGTACGTCAACCATTTTGACTAGACGCGTTTCAGGCGAAATAAACGGCCATCGAATCGATCCTGATCCTTAAGAAGAGAAGATGAAATTCACTGAAGGGGAAGCTTTTGCTGAAGTTGCTGGATGTGAACGAGTGCCCTTAAAGTTTTACCCGACCCACTATTCCTGTAATTAGAGCAAAGCAAAGGGCGGTCATGCAAACGTCTCTGGCCCAGCAGAGAATGCGAAAGGGTAGTCTACGATGGTTGGATATGGAATGGATAGGTAGAGATAAGGTCGCTCTCTAAGAAATTATTAGTGTTAAAAGTCAAGGAAAACGATCCCAAGCAGCCACGAAAAGGTGAAGAAGTGGTTAAAAAAACCTCTGCAAAACAGAGGTTACTGCGGAGATGTCCTAGATGAAAGGATGTGGCAACATTGAAGAATAACAGTAGACCCTGCAACTACGCGGAACTATGGCTTGCAAAAAGACGCGTAGGGCTTTCCAAAATCGTCACCTAGAATTCACTTGTATGTTTGATGCTGGACATAAAGAAAGTTACGGCAGATCAGCGATAGTTCCCGGAAATGGCCGCAAACCCAGTACAAGTGAGGGTTTTCAACAGCGAAATCCAGAAAGACTATGTAAGTCGCTGTTTCCTTACTGACCAAAACCCCACCTTTTCAATCCTTTTGAAATTTTTTTTCGTTTTAATGTTGGGTTGGTGGAAAACTCTCACTCTACCCACCCCATTTACACCTTTAGTTGTGAGCATACAAGCCACTAAAATGGGCCTTCAAGAGTGAGGCTTGATTTGCTTTTTGAAAATTCAGATCTTACATTCAACCAATTACTGAAGAGTTTACGTACACATTCGATAAGGGAAAAGATCCAAGTCTATCAGTTGGACTGACCTGGGAATGGACAAACCACACAGACAGCCAATTCGACAGACAGCTTGATTACTCGATCCATACTCACGGCAACACGCCAGTCATCGGCACCCGAATCAATCAACGCTATTTTAACCTGGAACAAGTGGAATGGAGTAAGTTCAACTAGTATAGAAGGATTACACTGGGCCACTTCTAAATGTGATGGTATTTTCCTCACGATTGTGGGAGAAAAATTTGCACCGAACAAGTTCATCATCAGTTTATAGAAATTTAAAAAGGAATAGTAAACTGGAAGCCTATCTAGACTTTGTGATGCCTACTTGATGATAGTAATGGTGGGAGCGTGGACTGGCCTTGCCAAAAATAGCCCCTCTACGGGTTTTCTCTGAATCGACCATATCGCGCTTCTAGTCACAAAGCCAGTACAGATCAACTTCATTGTCCGACTTCAATCGGCTTTTGGCAGAAAAAAAAAAGATTTTTCTTGGAAGCAAACACCTGAACCACAATTTTCGCATCAAAACCATAGGTCATTATGTGGCAATGTGTAGAACAGTGAATCCAAAACAAATTGCACGAAAAAGCTTTGGTTCATCCGATCGAATAATGGAACAGAAATAAATCAGCCGAATACCGAATTAGGGAGATGATACTCATTGTTGCTTGTCTCCTTAATTCGGATTTGGAGTTTATGTGAAAATTACTCGAGGGATTTTCGGATCCTCGGAATAATTTTTACACAATTTACCATCAAAAATAGAATCACTTACTTCTATCGCATGATAATTAATGAGACAGCACATGAGGCATATCGTTGTGAGCACGGCTAAGGAGCGAAGGAATAACGATACATTGTGAGCCTAAACGATATCATTTGATGGGAAAAAATAGTGTATTGTATCTCGTGGTTCCTTGCGGGCGGATGGATTAAGGGAGGAAGGACGGGAGAGGGAGTGGTCAAGCTAAGATATGTACTACTGAAATCAACTTTAAGATTAAAGAATTATATGTATATTTGGAAGTCTTCAACGACTTGCCGAAACCAAAAAGGTGATGATAAAGGGAGGCAAAAGCACTCATCTCTCAGACGGGGTTGATCAACACCCAAGGACTTTATTTATCATTCAAGAGTGTTTTGTATCATCTAGTCAGCTAAGTAGAAATGCAGTTTGATTGTTCGATTGTGAAGGATTAGATCCATTATCATCAACGGAAGCTGCACTGTTGCCAATGTGGTTCAAATGCCACTTTGAAGCTACTAATACCACTCGACATTTCGGACATTTACCTCATTTACCTGGAGCAAGCATTCAGGCTTGGAAATCCATAACTTTGAACGTTCGATCAATCCACAGTAGTTTTACGCTGTTGTATAAGAAAAGCTGTCAGCCCTAGACATTCTGGTTGTCCCATTTCGCACGTGAAACAATGAGGGACGCGTGGAACGATGGTAGGATTTCTCGGGCACTAATCCTCTTGAAACCCAATACGCGTAAGCACTTAGGTTAGAATTGAGATGCGTTCGTAACGTTTGCGGAATCACTTTGCGGAACACAATCGATTTTTATTACTTTCATTGACAGCTTCACAAAACTAATACCTTTGTGATATGAGTAGTTGATGAAAGTGCAGTAAGTTCCGCATCGATAATGACGAACAACAGCCCGGCTATTGCCAATATGAGTGACAGATCGCACACCTGAAATGAGAGAAATTCGGGTTCTGAGTTGATGAATACCTCTGCAAGGTACCACTCTTTTTATTTTAGCTCTTATTGTGTTTCTTATTTCAACTTCGGATAGATTTTCATGAATTGAAATGGTTAATTACGCATGGCCTTGTAATAGTCGCCGAGAAGTCCAAGCATCAAGTTCTATGTTCACTCTTGCACAAAAAATCCAGGCCATTAGAAGGGATTGCTGTCCGTCATAGAGTTCTTCAATGCAACGGAATAGCTGTACAGCAGAAAAGGACCGTTCTGAGCTTCGGGCCTGATGGATGAGTACGAGGCATGCCAACAACGAGTCACACCCACTTTGAATTGAAATGCGAAAGCTGTATAACTTTTGGTTGAGGAAATTATAATTCAACCGTAGCTTCAAAGAGCCATAGAGAATCGTCATGAAAGTAAAAAAATGGAGTGAGAGTGATCATGGAAATGCCAGCGAAAAGAAAAAAGTAAGATTTCTCAAGAAAAGCTCCCTTTTTTAGGCAGTGGCTTGAGCGATTTAAAAACTATCCGGGCCTGGACTTATATTTTGCAAGCTTGTAAATAAAGTTCATTTTTCCTGAGACTGTGTCTAAGCTGTCTCGTCCACGTACAGTACGATTTGAGCGATTTTGCCGTTCATTTAACCTTTACTGAGTGACTGTCGGTAATGTTTAGAGGGTGAAATGCACTTTCCTAAGTCTTCTCCAGTATCCTCATTGTTTTTTTGTTAGACTCCAGACCGCCCGGGGAAGGAAGCTTTCAAAGGTGTTCTATGATGGCGAGCTCCTTATCCTTTCAGTGTGAATGCCAATAATCACTTCGATAAAGGCCTTCATGAGGTGGAGCAGCTGCCTAGTGATTCGTAGCTCCAAAGTGGGAGGGTCAGGGTCTCCTTTGGCAAGAAAAGTTGCACATCCTTTTTCAGTATCCTGAATAATGACCACCACTGACATACAAACAAATCAGCGGTTGGTTGACTTTGTGTTAGGGTTGATGTTTCTGAGTAACAATGCCATTATTTCAAATTGTTTAACAATAACACAATAAATAGAACAACCGAGGATCCAAAAGAAAGAGTGAAAACTTCAAGGAACTATTATAGCTTGCTAATAGTCAAGTTTTCTTAGACTGTTTTTGTGATGGGAATCATTTACAAAGAAGTATATTCCGAAAAGAGGTGGTCACTTGTTATAATTTTAGCGAAATCGCTAAATGTTTTCATAAAAACAGGTCATACCTTATTACGCTGGATGAACAGTTGTTTCCGCATCCGACACCGCATTTTGGCAGTACTGTCACTGAAAGAAAGCGAATGAGAAAAGGCTGGGAAACGACGAAAACGAATAATTTGAATAATATTCGGTGATATATGAAAGAGGTGGCCGCGAGGTGGCTGCTGATCAACTGGTAAGGAAACCAACCATCAGCTTCTTAGTGATGCGAAAAACTACGGGTATGACGCTCACACTCTTTTTTCGAAAAAACTAATTTTGTTCCGCTCCATATTTCAACGTGAGACTGAAGATAAGATGTATTGCTAGCTTGCATCGTGAGAATAAATCAAATTTTCAAGTTTTGAAGTGATCACTCCTGCAATCGAGCAATTTATTTGTTTACTGTGCGCATCAGCGAAAACAGCTTGAATTGACCGAGGACCACCTTGAAAGGTTCTCCGGATGAAAATCTTCTGAGTACTTTTCAAGTAACTTTCGTATTTATTGAGTATCCGTAATGAATTTTATGCGTTGCGAAGAGGTTTCTATCCACTTTCCCAAAACGTAATTTACTTCTGTTTTTATTCTTTACAGTTCACTATGACTATTTTATTAAGACGGAGATGGAACGTCAACTGACGCCGTAACTGTAGAGCCATTTTCCGGAGATCGCATCCGAGATGAGTATCCGCTTGAAACGGCCAAACATTCCTTCCTACATGGTCAGTTGAAATACTATCATACTTCCCTGAAGCCAAACAGTATAGCAGATAGATGGAAACTCGGTTGGCCTGGGCAAACCAAGTTCCGATTCCGTGACCATGCGTGTGATAGTGAGCGCACCATGCCCCTACACCATCAACCATCAAACCCACTGCTTTGACTCCTTTTTATAACAAATAAAGGATAAAAAGGATAAAGTTTTTGGCGTTGATCAATCCCGTCTGAGGGATGCGCCCCCGCACTCGACTTCCATTCAGAATCGTAGTGGCGTAATGAGTGCGTATGTGGCCTATACAATGACTTGCGGTGGCCAGCCGACGTACAAGTCAGTGCTTTTATCCTCCCAGACGAGTCTGGTACCAATCCACCGACCCCGAAGGAACGGAACCATCTCTTCTGGTGTTTCCTAGGGCCTCATAGACCATCGCTTGGCGTAGGCGAATATCGATCCGGGATTTGAACCTGGGACCGTAGTGCGTGAAGTGCACCACATACCTCTACACCACCTCCGCCCCTTATTATGACAAATATAGGGGAATAATCTCATCATCATTACCATTCGTGATAAGAGCAACGATCCTAATTACGTAGTAGTCTGCAGCTCACCTTGTCAAAGTGTTGCATCATTCACACAATTTTCATCCCGACTTATGTATTTGCATGGACAAATTACCTACTTTTCGAACTAATTTTTTTATTCTTCTTCAAAACGTGAAACCCACCTGAAAGGTAGATGCCATCATAAGGGTAATATGGCACATTTTAAGTACAACATTACCTATGGAACTAACTGATGCACGCCAAGATGTACGCCACATACCTAAAGCACTCCCGGAGATCAACTTTTAGAGCCTACACCATCCTTTCAAAAGGAGGGGAAAAAGTCGATAACGCAGGAAACTTTGAGCAACCCACGAGCAGCCAGGAGGTAGTTCTGAACCTCATGTACCAAGGTCTACATACTAAAATGATATACGAAACATATCAATCACCATTGTCTCAATCATTGAGAAAAGAAGGAGGGAAGTAAGTGTGAGAAAACGAAAAAAAGTAGGAATTTTTTAAAAATGGAGAAAAATAAAGGAAGGAACTATGGGAAGAGATAGTCTTGAAGGAGACGTTCGAAATTGACAACACGGAAGACGCAGCTGTGGAAAGCGCGATGAAGTTTATGGCTGACAGGCCATAAAGGCAGTTCATAAATATGTTGAAAATGCTGTGAAGTGGAGAAAAAAGAGTAAGTTCATCCCAGCGGAAAATTCCAACTGCAAATTGCATCCAATGCTGTAAACAACATAGCAAACAACGCCGCGC